GATTTATAATAGACTATTTTATAAGACTTTAATTTATTATATTAAATAATAAATGTCGTATCTAAAATGTTATAATAAGTTTAAAGAACATTTTGAGCATTTTAACAAGTTTTTATGATATTTTTAAAATAAAGTATCGTATTTGTTATTTTATTTGACACAATCTGAAAAGTGTTCTACAAACACAAATATCCGATAAAAGATGTGTTAATATGACACTTTTTAAAATGTATCTTATAAAATAATCAACGCAACACATTATTTTGAAAATATCTTAAAGACTTGTTAAAACATCTAAAAACGTTCTAAAGACGCTTTATTGCTTGATTTTACAGACTTAAGTCTTATAAAATAATCTATTAAAATACTTGAAGATTTTTAGCATTTTATAAACCCGATTTATTATATTGGATACATAATGTTGTAATAAATTAACCACAAGGGTGATGTCTGATTGGTTTGAGCTTGTCTCAAATGGTCAAAAGTACCAGGAGGTCCCAGGTTCAAATCCAAGGAGGAATAAAAATCCCCTTGTGGCCACGGAGGTTCAAATGCGGTGACTCTGGGTTATTTGCAAAGCTGGTGGTCATCCTAGGATTAGACAGTTCGCATAACAGGTTGGATATCCAGGTTAATAAAAAAAATTGTAATAAAAATATATAATTATAACATCAAATTTGAAATGGCACAACCACAACTGAATGAATTGCCATAAAGTAAAACATTCAATTCCAAATTACATAACGGGTTGTTTACATCTGGCTTAATAAGCTTAATGGTTTAATCAGCTTATTCATATAATTCTTTTAGACTGTTTATTTGAAGTTTATTTGTATAATATTAAAAGGGTACTCGTGCAATGCATCAAGACACATCTTGATTTCTTTGTTTCGTTTTATTCCTTTTTTATGTCAATATAATACGTTTTTATGTGTTTTTGAGAAAACGATAATGTTTTTATTTTTGAATAAAATATAAATATAAAAATATCATAAATTTCTTTAAAAAATATCGATATCAGTATCAAATTAATCTTTTTAAAAGTTCTTCTGTTTTGGTGTAATTTCCTTAATTAAATTTTTTAATTAGAATTTAATTTAGGTTTAATAATATAATATTTTAAAAAGATAATAACTAAATATTCTGTTAGAACTCTTTGATTATTCTAATTATATTTTAGATTTTTTATATTTAAAATGAGATGTTTATCCAATATTTGATTATGTTTATCTACAGTTAGTTACACGAATTCAGATATGGAGCTTTAATAAGTTGTACGTATGCACAATTTATTTGTAATCTTAAATTTTAAGTAATATGCATCAATAAACAATACTTCGTGCATAAAAAATTGTTTTTTAAGAGTTTTTGACAAATACTTTGTAATATAATATAGATGTGACTGTTTACACGTAATATGATGTCCCTACCTTTTTGTATGCTACAAATTCCGATTAAGACCAGAGAGAAAGGGTCCATATAAAAACAAACCTAAAATCATGAAAGATTGAAACAATGAAGACAACATCATGTAGCATTAGCAACAAAGAGCCATATCTCAGATCTACGATTCACCTTCAGCTATGAAAGTTGGGGAGACCATGTACACGGAAGAGAGCAGACAACAAAGGGTGACGAGCAGTGGTCGAGCAACAATAAAAAAGACAAGGATAGTAGCTTTTACGTGTTAAGAAACAAGCGGTCAGTGAAGGAGCAACGTCTTTGTGTTTTCCAAAAATATTGGTATATAAGTTTGTTAAGTACCTAACGGAGATATCAATAGAAGTCTTAATACCTAACTAACTCACACCAACTTAACCGTAAGTGGATCTCAAGTAGCTGTGAAAGTGACTGACATAATGGGTAAGCCCTGTCATTGCAATAGACGAAAAGGGCTACAACACATTATCGATGCAAAGCAGAGACGTGATATTGTAGATAAAGACAGAAAGTCAATCCGATAAGTAAACCAAAGCATATACGTTTTCAATGGAGCATTTAATGCGTTATGTATGTTAAGAACTCATCAGGGGAGACATGTAGCTGTAGTTAGGGGTGCTCAAAAACCCGACCAACCCGACCAAGCCGATCAACCCAACCCAACCCAACCCAATGCGAAATAACTCAACCCGAAGCAACCGATGTCTAATCGAGTTGTAAAATTGTCAAACCGTAGGTATTGGGTTGATATCGGGTTACTATTTTTTGAACCCAATTTTATTTCTTGGATTTAATATGATTGTTGAATTTCTATCAATATATACATTAGACAATTACACTATCATGTATGCTTTTCATATACACATATTTTTAATCTATTCATATCTCTATATAACTCATTCAGTAACTGACTAACTGTGAACATATATATGTAAATTTAAAAATTTAACTGAATGTGATATACGTAAGAAATATGAATAAGTTGTATCAAATGATTGATGATGAAAAAGAAACTATGAGTAGAGAAATAACATATTCAATGTTAGAAGAATATTTTAATATACCAAAGTATCAACCCGACTAACCCGACCAACCCGTACGGGTTGGGTTGCACTTTGGTTTGGGTTGGGTTGGGTTAAGATTTTTCCAAACCGAAAGCATTGGGTTGAGTTGTTCAAATGTCCTCAACCCGATCAACCCAACCCATGAGCACCCCTAGTTGTAGTATAACAAGGATGGTCATCAGACATTGTTTGACAGATACAAGCTAGCTTATTTTTTGAGTATATGTTTGGATGAACATAAACTAGCTTATTGAAACGCTGCTTGATAGAAATGGCGTTTTATGAGTTTTTTTTTTTTGACATTTTTTCAATTATAACCCCAATTAATGTTGATTAATATTAATTATTACTGTTATTAATGATATTTAATTAAAAATAATTAATATTACTTGAAAATTAATAATTAATTTTAATCATACATTGTTAATAGTAATTACTAATTATTTGGAATTATCATTAATCACATTGACTATTTATATATATTATTATTTATAAATTATTATTCAACACATTTAGTTATGAAAAAGCAGATATAACAATTCAGAAAATGTTTATATAAGTTACATAAAAATCAAAATTATACCTCTTTTGTTTCATAGATAATAAAACTAAGAGACCGTTTACCGGATACTTACCCGGTAAGCATTTACCGGTAAAATTTAACACTATCATTTACTTACCGGTTATGATTTTAATCCACCAAAATGACATCGTATGCAACAATTTACTTGGTAAGCGCTTACCATGGTAAGAGTCGTCGCTCTCACTTACCGGGTAAGACTCTTGTTCCTTGTCTCGCTTTTACCGGATGAGATTATTGGTTCTTATTATATTCATCTGACAAGGTAATGTGACTTCGTAAACACTTATCTGAGTAAATGTTTGATAAACGGGCCCTAAGTTAAATGATTTTAATAAAATATCCAGTTTAATTATTAATTATATTTTTTGAAAGATTATTAATTAAATAGAATATGTGAGATTGACCTATTTTAATTTTATTCATATTATGTGTAATGATAATTTAAAATCATAAATTAAGTTATATTTTATTTAAATAGAATCAGGAATCGCCAAATCAGTTAAAATTAGAACATAAACTAATTTTATACTATAAATAAGAAAAGTGCAAAATTACATAAATATTAATCATATAAAAAAAGCATCAAATAATAACCAGTAATAAGCTAGCTTATAAGCTAATTTACCAAACATAATCAAAATAACAGGCAATTTTTAAACGCACAAAAAGATAAATATTGATAAGTCATCTTTCATGAACAACACATAAACCCTTGCATTAATGGCTTAAAGATTAAGTTATGACTTTTTTTTTATATTAAGGAGCTGTTTACTTATGGTTTAATTGGGTTTATTGGTCTATCTGGTTTATTTACACAGTTCATTTGAGTTGTTTACTTACGAATTATTCGCACAGAACATGACTTAATCGTACAGATAGAAATGGTGTGTTGTCCCCATTCAGCCATAAAAATGACACCTCTACCCCTTATTTAAAGCACCGCCTTCTTCTCATAAGAGACACCTCATCTTCTGCTTCTTTATGATTTTTTTGTTTTGACGTTCAAATAATTAATATTGGGGNACCTCTACCCCTTATTTAAAGCACCGCCTTCTTCTCATAAGAGACACCTCATCTTCTGCTTCTTTATGATTTTTTTGTTTTGACGTTCAAATAATGGGGGGGGGGGGGTAAATCGGTCATTTATATTATTCACACTGTTGATTTAGATAAAAAAAGTAAATAACAACACCCATTTATCCAGACAGATAAATTTATCTATATAAAACTTAATAAATTTTTTAGTGAAAAGCCCTAACTGTAAACAAATGAAATTGTTTAGGTAAACGATTAAGCCCCGTTGATCGACCATTCAGCTATTTCACTTTTACCTCGAGTCAAATACATAAATAAATTCTAGAAAATAAATGCAAAATAAATATAATATAAAAGGAAACAAAATCAAATTTATAACACTTTTTTTTGGAAACAAAGTATAATTAATTAATATTGAAGTTTCAATTAAAGTCTCTTGAAATTAATTTTAATTTAAATAATTAATTTATATAAATTTATAAAAATAATAATATTTTTTTTATTAACCTGGATATCCAACCCGTTATGCGAGCCGATTAATCTCAGGATGCTTTGCATATATCCTGGAGTCACCGTATTTGAATCTCTGTGGCCATAAGAGAATTTTTATTCCTCCTTAGATTTGAATGTCACCTTCAAGTACTTTTTACCTTTGAAGTCAAACTAAACTAATCAAGTGGTTAAAAAAATAAATAATAATTATAAATTAAATTTGCATTGTACTTCTCCTTCTCAACCTACACGCCCCCACACGATAACGTCGTGTTCTATTTTTCTTCATCATCGAGTCTTTGATTCTAACTTTTTGAAAATCTCTGAAACTTTCATTTTAATTCAATCTCCAACAGAAACCAATTTCAGTAATTCATTCTTCGACCATGAAAAACCCACAGAAACTGTTTTTACAGATCACGAAACGTTTGTCTGAGATCAAATGGCGTTTTCTGCTGTTACTAATCGTACCGATTTCTCTTCTGCTGTTTATCTCCATTACCACCACCGCACGCGGCGGCGATTTCAGTGATTACAACCCGTTTTACTTTTTAAGCAACCTCAAGTCATTGTTCTACAACGATAACAACAACAGCAATCAGAATCGTTCGCCTAATTACTCAGCCATAACATTTCCGACGACGGATAAGGCGTGGCCACCGGTGATCGGCGATCGGAAGTCAGAGTTGGAGCAGTCGAGGATGGCGGTTTGTTTGGTGGGAGGGGCACGGCGATTCGAACTAACTGGACCGTCGATTGTAGAGAAAATTCTAGAAGAGTATCCGAATGCTGATCTGTTTGTCAACAGTCCTCTGGATTCCAAATCGTACAAATTCAGTCTCCTGAAAACGGCTCCGAGAATCGCTGCGATTAGGATATTTAAGCCGGAGAAGATACCGGAAAATGATGCGGCGGTCCGAGTTCTGACGGCGAGTAACTCGCCGAATGGCATTCAGGTAATTTGGCTCCCATTTGGATTCTTGCTTTGTTTTGCAGTTTTAATCGGAATCACCATTTACCAATCTATCGGTTTTGTGTTAGAATCCAAACTAATCGCTGAATTAAATATAAACTTTGATTTTGATAATTAATTAAGAAATATGAACTTCAAATAACAGCTTAATCAGATTCACAGCTTATTTGATCAACTTAAATAACTTATTCAATAAGCTACGTATCATAAAAATCTTTATGCAGAAAACCAAGTTTTTCCCCCCAAACTTATCTCTCAATTGAAAAATCACGCTTCTTCCACATTTAAAAACTTTTTTAAACAAAAATATTCCGGATCTACATAAACAGCTTAATCCACACGGCTGTTGACTTGCGATTTAATTAAACTTATTGGTCTATCTGGCTTATTCGCACAGCTCATTTGGTTTGTTTACTTATGGCTTATTCGCACAGAACATGGCTTAATCACACAGATAGAAAATGTGTGTTGTCCCCGTTCAGCCACAAAAATGACACCCCTACCCTTTATTTAAAGCACCGCCTCCTTCCCATATGAGGCACCCCACCTTCGGCCTCTTTATGATTTTTTGTTTTGATGTTCAAATAATTAATATTGGGGGGTAAATCAGTCATTTATGTTATTTAGACTGTTGGTTCAGATAAAAAAAAGTAAACAACAACACCTATTTATCTAGACAGACAAATTTATCCGAACAAACAAATTTATCCATACAGGACTTAATAAAAAATTTGATAAACAGTTCCGATTTATTAATTGGGGCCGGTTTTGGTCCTTGGGCCATGCTATGCATGTGTTTTGATACAAACGTTATTTTGCGTTTGGTACAACCACCGAAAGCGGTGTGCCACCTTTTTCTTATATTTTCATATTTATTTGTTATTTTAGGTTTGATTAATTTAAGGTATTTCTACGTTTTAGGTCGAATTAAAATTACGGTGTTTAGAAATTACGGTTTTTTATTCTGATAGTTTATAACTGCTTATTCTTTTTATATCTGTAGTTTACGGATTAATGTTGTTTTCGTCCCTCGTATTTAACGAAAAAACAACGGGAGAAGTTAGGGTCATGAACCGAACCATGAATCGTAAATCATAGGAAGAGATCCATAATCGTATTTCCTTAAATGATTATAACCAACTTTTTAAGGACATTCGTTTTATCGTCACAATCAACGATTTAGATGAATCTTTTGGTTTTAAATATGCACGCATAAATTTTTTATTTAAATAAAAAATCGTACACAGAGTCAGAAATTTAATTAGGTGTCTAATTTACTGATTCATATACATACATAAAGACTTTGTTATATTATTAACGTAAATTGTGTTATTTATCGTGAATGTTTTTGGTATTATTTGTTTATTAAAAACAAAATAAATATATTATGGAGTCTAAATTCGGTATTCATTATTGAAAAGGGTATTCTAGATTTAATTTTTAATTAATAAATTATTCATTTTTTAATTAGGATAAATTGCATGAAAAAGTAACGTATTTTAACTCGATATCTATTTTTTTTATTAACCTGGATATCTAACCCGTTATGCAAGCCGACTAATCCCAGGACGACCGCCTGCTTTGCACGTAACTCGGAGTCACCACATTTGAACCTCCGTGGCCACAAGGGAATTTTTGTTCCTCCTTGGATTTGAACCTGGGACCTCCTGACACTTTTGGCCATAGGAGTCAAGCTCAAACCAATCAGACACCACCCTTGTGGTTCTTGATATCTATTATGGGTAATATATTTTTAAAACTTTCATTTTGATACTTAAGATGTAAAGTTTTAAACATTTAAGTACCTGAGTAATCGATTGAAGCATTAATCGGTTATCATGCTGATGTGACGATGAATGAAATTGAGTTGAATAACAAATAATACTGAGTTGGATATCACATCACTCGCCACATCAGCATGGTAACTGGTTAATACTTCAACCGGTTACCCGAATACTTAAATGTTTAAAACTTTACAACTTAGATTCCAAAATGAAAGTTTTAAAAATATGTTAATGCAATTTTTCCTTTTAATTATGTTTTGAATGAATTTAAGTAGAAAACTCATGTCACGTTCAAATCTTGGTTAGTAGTTGCCATCAGTGGTTGAAATTCATAACTCTAAAGGGAATTGATTTTTGATATGTGGGGTTGCATTTTCTCTTTATTATTAATTAAAAAATCATATATATTCAATCTATTATTATTATATTTTAAAAAAAAATAACCGTAATTTTTATAACGTACGATAAACCAAAAAGTTTAACCTAAAAGAAAGAGAGATCTAAGTTTGACGGCATTTCTTTCTGACAACACGCAAATATATATATATATATATATATATATATCTGTATATACATGAATATCTGAATTGTTTGTAATGATTCTCTGATTGTTAATAAAAATAAGGTGGTTATAGTTTTTATTCGATTATATAATCACATTATATCATCTTTTGATATAATTCACCAAATTTGGGGGAATTTATCCCAAAAGTTTGTAACTTTTTTGGATGGAATCAAATACTATGAAAATAAAGCTTTGGATTTTATCTCAAGAAAAAGCATTTTTATGTGGTTTTATTCCATGAGATAAAAGTCATATGCACTCACAAAAGCTAAATAGCAAACCCCCAACCCTTTCCTATCCATAATTAATCTTTTTTTTAATTAACCTGGATATCCAACTTGTTATGCGAGCTGACTAATTCCAAAAGACTATCTGCCTTGTAGATAGCTCAGAGTCATAACATTTGAATCTCCGTGACCAGAAGGAGATTTTTATTCCTCATTGGATTTGAATCTGAGACCTCCTAGTACTTTTGACATTTGGAGCCAAGCTCAAACCACAAGGGTGGTGTCTGATTGGTTTGACCTTGACTCCAAAGGTCAAAAGTAACAGGAGGCATCAGGTTCAAATTCAAGGAGGAATAAAAATCCTCTTGTGGCCACGTAGGTTCAAATGCGGTGACTCCTGGATATCTGCAAAGCAGGTGGTCGTTTTGAGATTAGTCGGCTCGCATAGCGGGTTGTATATCCAGATTAATAAAAAAAGATAAATCCCACCAAAGGGTCTTTGACCTAACAGTATGCGAGTCCTTGGCTTTCTAGGAGGTCAAGGATTCAAACCTTATCATAAATGTGGAGAGTGTGTGAGTTTATTTGTTTTATTTATTGTATATAAATATTATATACTTAAAAAGGTAAGATGAATAATGATATAAATAAAAAGTATTTAAATTGATTATATTTTTATTTATTTTTTCTTGAAAATGGCAACACGTTTTTTGGACAAAATGGAATTCTAAAACACGATTCTTTTGTAAGCAAGGGTAGAATAGTCAATTAACAAAGCCACCTTTCGTATTCAGGGTTTGTTGCAGTATTTCAATCTGGTGGAAGGTTGCTTAACCATGGTTGAATCCTACCAAAAAAGAAACAACTTCACCTACGACTGGATAGTACGGACTCGTGTCGATGGATACTGGTCAACCCGACTTCGACCCGATATTTTTATCCCGGGTCACTACGTCGTCCCATCCGGATCTTCCTACGGCGGCCTTAACGACCGTTTCGGTGTCGGCGATTTCAACACCTCCGTCGCCGCCCTCTCCCGTCTCTCCATGATCCCGGAGATTGACTCGGCCGGGTTCCATGAACTCAACTCGGAATCGGCGTTTCAAGCCCAACTCAGAGTACGAAACATCTCGTTTCTCACCAAACGTCTCCCGTTTTGCGTTGTATCGGACCGGACGTACGATTTTCCGCCGGAAAAGTTTGGAGTTCCGGTGGCGGCTTTGTCGAGTAAAGGTCCGTTGAGTGGGGTGAAGTGTCGGCCGTGTACGGCTAAGTATTCCGGTAAGTTGGCTACCGCCATTGTTAATGGATTATATCGGCAATGGAGCTGGACGGATACCGGGAACAACACGCTGCAGCTCTGCGACGGTCATGGCCGATGGGAAGATGGGTGGGAAAAGTTATTCGATTCAACCGCCGGAAAGAAGCTGTCGGCGGTGAGGAAAAGAGTGTCGTCACTGTCGTTTGAACAGTGTGTTGCGGATTTTGAGTTCATGAAGCGGCGATCGGCGGTGTGGGATGTGCCGCCGGCGGTGGATATTTGCAGCCAGTTTCATAGATAGAAAATTAAACAAAAATAGGTTTTTTTTTTGAATTAATTCCTTTTTTCAGAGGTGTAAATATTCTGGATTTAGGAATTTCGATTTCAACATTGTTTTTACGTAATTAAAAAAATTAAACGAGGGAAAGTTAAGAATTTCATGATTGTTTACCATATGTTTATAAAAGTACCCATCATCCTCGTTTAGGGGCCGTTAGAAAATTGCTGAATGGTTTGGTGCAGAATGATTAAGAGGTTCTCATAATATAGTGCAAAATGAAATATAATTGTTTGGTAATTGTGCACAATGAAATTATGGCTCTTAATGGTTAAGAGAGATCCATTACACAAAATTATTCAGAGGGTTTTAGAACCATTAAAAGACAAACTTTTTTTTGCTAAACAAGATTTACCTTTTAACGATTCAGAGGTTGCCTATTAATGAAACTATTAAGAAGTAAACAAACAACCCTTTACTTTATCGGGTAATATTTTCAGTTATCAAAATGAATTGTTTATAGACGTCTATTATATATACCTGCAGGTTGCAGGTAGGTTTATTATCCCTCACTTAACAAGTAAGAACCTTGGTTGTTATTATACATCTTATCAGATAAAGTTATTCGTTTTTGTCATGCTCACTCGATAAGATCAAGGATCTAATAAACGTTTAGTAAATGGTCCTTATATGTTCTAAAACAATATTTTTATTACGTTTGAAAATTAAAAATGTAAAATTGAGCGGAGAATGTCGTTTTGTTTACAAGGGGTCGGTTCAAATATAAAGACTAAATATCGTAAAAATGAAAGAAAAGAAGGTTAACAGAATGTCCAGATATGAAATATTTTTCGAAAAAAATCTATTTGAACATGTATATGTGAACCAACGTTACACATTATTTATATGGATTCAAATATGTATCTTCAGTTGATTTTTCTAATGATTCACGTAATGAATATATCTATAACCTTTTTTTTATTAACCTGGATATCCAACCCGCTATGCGAGCCGACTAATCCCAAGGCAACCACCTGCTTTGCAGATAGCCCGGAGTCACTGCATTTGAACCTCCGTGGTCACAAGGGGATTTTTATTCCTCCTTGGATTTGAACATGAAACCTCCAGTTACTTTGACATTTGGAGCCAAGCTCAAACCAATCAGGCATCACCCTTTGTGGTTATCTATAACCTTTTATGGTTTTGTTCTCAAGGGTATTTAAAATTTTGTGTTTGTACCCTTAGAGCAGCTCCAACAGCTATGATAAAAAAAAGAGAGGTAAAATTTTAGCAACTTTTTTTCTCCAATAGCTATACTAAAATAGGAAGAAAAAAAAGGAGAGAGATGGAAACAAATTTCAAATTTAAAAAAAAATCTCTAAAACTCAATATTTAAAGGGTCGTTTACCAAACACTTACCCGAGTAAACGCTTACCAAGACCAAGTCATATTACCTCACCAGATGAATATGGTAAAGACTAAGAATCTTACCCGGTAAAAACGAGACAATGACCATGAGTCTTACCCGGTAAGTGAGGGCGACGATTCTCATCATGGTAAGCGCTTACCGGGTGAATTGTTGCATACAATGTTGTTTTGATGGACTACAATCTTACCAGTATATATACTTACCAGGTAAGTGTTTGGTAAACAGCCCCTAAAAGAGTGAAATATAACTTTTTATTCTCTCTCACCAATTGGAGACTAAGAAATTTAGTGTTTAGAAGATAGAAATATTATTTCATCAAATATATTGAATATTTTAATAATATAGTTAAGGAAAATCAAAGTAGAAACAAAAATCCATTGTGGTCACGGAGGTTCAAATGCGGTGACTCCGGACTACCTGCAAAGCAGGTGGTTGTTCTAAGATTATTTCGCTAACATAACGGATTAGATATCTAAATTAATAAAAAAAAATTGGTCAAACATAAAAAATTAGAAAAAGCTAATTAGTCAAGAAAGAAACTAGGTCAAATAAATGAAGGCTCAATGAGATATTCAAAGGTCAACAATATTTTAAATTTTATCAGAAAAATGTTGGCCTATTTATTTTAATAATAATTTTTTAATCATATTTAAATTAAGATATTAATAATTTGTTAAATTTAAAAAGAAAAAAGCAAAAAAAAAAAAAAGTTGAGTGGTTGATGTATCATCCAACATGATCACCTTTTAAAACATGTATTAAAAACATTTATATCCAATTAAAACCAATATAAAATTTCTTTTTTCATATTATTTTAAATGATATAAATCTCATAATCTATATCTATACTACTTTATAAAGCAAATTTGCTTAAAGTCTTAAAAACACTTTATTATGCACAATGTACTACTCTTTAATGCAGAAAGTCTTAAAGTCCTAAAAATGTATAACCTCATTATGCATTAGTACTACCCTTAAAGCATACATATCCGGCTGGCCAAATGCTCCTCTTTCCAACACACCTCTTTCCAACGCACCTCTATCCCGCTCTCTATGAAGCTCTCTCCACGCACGATTTTAGAGAAGACGATTCATTCTTCAAGAAAACGATTCAGGCGACTTACAGTGTATAAATGATGAAGCACGATTCACGCTCCTGTCACGCGATTCAAATCCCACACGATTCAGCCGATTTTGTGGAGGTGAGTTTTCTTACTTGATTTTGAGTTAGGTTAGGGTTTATTTGGTGAGTTTTCTTATTGCGTTAGGGTTTATTTGGTTTATTTGGAGGTTAGGGTTTATTTGGTTTATTTGATTTTGAGTTTTCTTACTTGATTTTGAGTTGGGTAATCTGATTTAGTTAAGTTAGGGTTTATTTGGTTAGTTTGTGTGTAGCGATTCAAGCTATTCAGGACTGACCTCAAGCGATTCAGGGCGATTCTTTGGAGGTTCTCAAAGGTAATTATTTTTCTTTAATATCGTACTTGATTTTGAGTTAGATTAGGGCCATGTCAAATTTCTTGAAAGCAATGGAGTTTGGTTATGGTATCTATGTTTTTTTATTGCGTTTTTTTATTGCGTATTTTCTTCATTGAGTTTGGATGATACTTTTTAACAGTGATATGTTCTTTGTGTGCCACTACTGCCTGTCATATTTAACAGTGATATTTTCTTCATCGAACTCCTTTTCTTGATATTTAACAGTGATATTTTCTTCATCGAAATCTTCAAACACTCTTTGCATTTCTTTTTGGATGTTCTTACTGTACATGTGCATTAGTTGGTTCTTGCAAACTACAGTGTTTCTTGCCAAAAGATTTGTTGGTTCTTGCAAACTWCAGTGTTTCTTTTTGGATGTTCTTACTGTACATGTGCATTRTTGGTTCTTTTTCGAGAAGCATATGCATGTATATTGGCGATGTTTTATGTGTTGTTTGATAAAACCAAAAGATTTGTTGGTTCTTSCAAACTACATTGTTTCTTGCCTTYTAAAAAAAATGATCAATTTGCAATAAAACAAGTAGTACAATGTTCAGAAAGTGATGACATGAACAAAAAGATGTTGACCCTCATATATCAATTCTATCTTAACACCCGAGCACATTGAATTGACTAGCAATTACTAGAATGCACTTTGAAATTTCCAACCACTGAAAATTATTTGCAGATACCCACTAAAACGTATTGATTTTGCTATTAAATGCCACATGCATAAATCACTTGTAACTTGACCAAACTTTGGATGGTGTGAAATGCATCTCTTACATTGACCATGCTAGAGAACAGTTGGTACAAATACTTATGGTGCTTTATCTGTATTTTA